ACCTGTGCTCTGATTGGTTGCTGTAAGGAGGAGTACCTGTGCTCTGATTGGTTGCTGTAAGGAGGAGTACCTGTGCTCTGGTTGGTTGCTGTCGTCTTGGGTTCGGTACTGGACGGTGGTGCAGTGGTTGAACCTGGAGTTGAACATCAGATCAGTTAATAATCAGTTTGTGTTCTGTTAGTGACTCAGAGTTTTCTGAAGTATTTAGACATTAGACAGATTAAATTAACTCTTATTATTTATTAAAGAATTAACAGTTTTTAGACATCATCAGTCTTGTTTTCGTCTATGTTTCTATACAGTGAACTAAATCCAGGCTCTTGGCCGTTTTATTTATTTACTGTTATTTAACCAGGAAAGTTCTGTTGAGACTGTAAATCTCTTTTCAGAATCAGAATCAGCTTTATTGGCCAAGTGTGTTGACACACACAAGGATTTTGTTTCCAGCAGATGTTGTCTTTCCAATCCATGTACATACATTATACACTGAAGCACATAACATAAGACATAAACATTATAGTCTGTGGATTATRTACAAGTAGTATATACATTTTATGTACAGTAAGCGTACACAGGGTGAGTGTGTGGTAAAAAGGGGAGGTTAGGCACTAGTTAGCAGGTCTGATGTCTGTAATTGTTCCTCAGGGAGATGGTCTGGAGGAAGAAGCTGTTTTTGTGTCTGGATGTTTTTAACACCAGAACACAACCTCCACCCAGTATGCAGACTCATCCCCGTCCTTGATGTGACCAATGACTGTGGTGTCGTCTGCATACTTCAGTTTAACAGAAGGGTCACTGGAGGTGCAGTCGTTGGTGTAGAGAGAGAAGAGCAGTGGTGACAGTACACAACCTTGAGGGGCTCCTGTGACCTCCCTCAGGTGCACCAACACCAACCGTTCAAATGTTTTCATCACCACAGATTTCAGAGCCACAGGTCTGTAGTCATTTAGTTCCTTGATGGTGGCCTTCTTTGGAATGGAGATGATTGTCTGGTGTTTCAGGCAGGAGGGAACTTCTGACAGCTCTGGTGACTTATTGAAGATTGTGGTGAAGATTGGGGCTTGTTGGTCTGTGCAGGTTTTAAATCAGGAGGGGGAGACACCATCAGGGCCTGGTGCTTTCCTGGTCTTCTGTCTCTGGAAAAGCCGACTCACCTCCTCCACATGGATCAGTGGTGCAGCCTGGATGGCTAAAGGTGGGGGTTCAGTCAGTGGTGTGATGGGAGATGATATGGAGTTGAGGTGTGAAGATGTCCTCCTCTGGGTTCACAGGTGTGGTCTGAGTGACCAGAGGTGGAGGTAGGGGAGCAGTCAGAGGTGTGATGTTGTCCCTCTCAAACCTACAAAGAAGTCATTCAGATCATCTACCAGACCTTTGTCAGCAGCAGGGGGTGGGGTGAGATCCTATAATCAGTGATGTCAGAGAGACCTCTCTACACTGATACTGGGTCGTTTGCTGAAAACCTGTTTTTCGGCTTCTCACAGTAGATTTTTTTAACCACTCATCTCCTTATGGTACGTTCACACCGAACGTGTTTTGAGCAGCAAAAAATCTCCCAACTCCTCAAGTTGGATGCGTTATGTTCAAACCGGGACAGAGACTAGAGCCGTGTCTGAAGAGGGAGGAGAGTCTTGGTTTTTTCCATTCTGTCTTCGGTGGATGAAATAAAGATAAAATAAAGAAAATTGCTTTGTTTTATTTACTAAAGAGCAAGCAAACGTTGCGCACAGCAGAGGATTATTTCACCAGATAATTTAGAGGTGGTTTGTTCGGTTAGTTTCACTCCAGGAGCTGACAAACTATTTTTTGTCCTGAGCCCAGTTTAACACCACGACCAGTTTAACGAGCTGCTGACCCACATCTGTGCTGATATCTCCAGCCAGAACACAAACGACAGACGGTCCATTTCAGCTAAAGATCTCCTGTTTCGGTTTAGTGGGCAACATTCAGGAAACTGTCACGTGGAAAAATGAGTCTCTTTGGTTGGTTGTCAAGATGCGTCGAGTGGCGAAAGATCAGACTTTTGAACTCGGACGTCGGCTGCTTTGACCACACCGCATGTGCAGAAAATGCTCTGCCACACCTTACACTTCCTTGCACACCGCACCAAATGGACCAGACGCACCGCAAGACCCCTAGAGACGCCTCCATCATAGACTTTGCATGTAAACTGGCTGCTCCTGCTGCTCAAAACATGTTCGGTGTGAATCCAGCATTAGTCAGTATGTTCCTGGTCTTGTTGTACAAGGCCCTGTTCCCACTTCTGTAAGCTTCAGCCTTGGCTTCTTTAAGGGAGGCCTGGAGGCAACCTATCATACATGTTTTTGAGGGGTGGGGGAAACTGGAGTACACGGAGAAAACCCACACAAGCACAATGAGAACATGCAAACTCCACACAGTAAGACCCCAGGTCCAAAATGGGGATCAAATCCAGGACCTTTTTGCTGTGAGGCGTTGGCGCTAACCACTGAGCTACCATGCTGCCACAAGCTGTTCTGCTCAGTCCTGTAGTTTGTACAGTAGATCACATGTGCCCCTTTTCCACTAGTGCCACTTAGTGTAGTGTCGATACGGTTTGGTACGGTTCCAAACCATTTCCATTAGGCCAGATTCATGGAACCGGCACTTTTTTAGTACCTACTTCATTGTGGTTCCAAGCGGCCCCAGTTGACACCAAAATGTGACGTCAGAACACTGTTCGTCACTGATTGGCTAGGAGGTGGAGTCACTGGTTGCTGCCTTTACAAGAACAACTCGAGACACCATTTTTTTCAATTGCAGCAGTGACATTAGTCCTGTTCCCATCCAACTTTAATTCTAATTTTTTAACAAAATTTTAAAATTTCAAAAGGTATTCATCAAATGTGTTACCATCTCTGATTTTGCGCATTAACTTTTTTCAAAAAAACTCCCAAAACCACCTCTACCAACCACCCAAAACACACCCACTGGAACCGGACTGGACCTTCAATGGAAAAGCATGGTCACGTGGTCTTGGCCCACTCCAGCAGTTCTGTAGAACCTCAGTAGGTCCGACTCTCTGCTGACACTGAAACAAACCCTCACACCGCTTATATCAGGACTGAAGACCAACAGACCCACAATCCCCACAGTGTACCTCAAGAAACACAGTCAAACACCTTCTCCAAGTCCATGAAACACATGTAGACTGGATTAGCAAACCTCCATGACCCCTGGAGGACTGTAGTGAGGGTAAAGAGTGGGTCCAGTGTTCCACGGCTGTTCCTCCAGAATCTGAGTTTGGACCATCGATCGGACTCTCTTCTCCTGTACCCCTGAACAGACCTCACCTGGAGGCTAAGGACAGTGACGCCCCTGTGGTTAGAACACACCTTCTTTGAAGAGAGGACCACCACCTCAGTCTGCTGGTCCAATGGAACTGTGTCCCCAATGTCCATGATGTTGCCAAGGCATGTCAACCAAGACCACCCCACATCAGGACAGAACTGGTCCACCCCTGGAGCCCTTCCAAGACTACCCCACATCAGGACAGACCTGGTCCACCCCTGGAGCCCTTCCAAGACCACCCCACATCAGGACAGATCTGGTCCAAAGCTGGAGCCCTTCCAAGACCACCCCACATCAGGACAGACCTGGTCCACCCCTGGAGCCCTTCCAAGACCACCCCACATCAGGACAGACCTGGTCCACCCCTGGAGCCCTTCCAAGACCACCCCACATCAGGACAGATCTGGTCCACCCCTGGAGCCCTTCCAAGACCACCCCACATCAGGACAGATCTGGTCCACCCCTGGAGCCCTTCCAAGACCACCCCACATCAGGACAGACCTGGTCCATCCCTGGAGCCCTTCCAAGACCACCCCACATCAGGACAGATCTGGTCCACCCCTGGAGCCATTCCAAGACCACCCCACATCAGGACAGACCTGGTCCATCCCTGGAGCCCTTCCAA